AAAATCTCTCATGAATTCCCATAAATACTGAAATTTGTAAAATAATTGATTTGAGAAGTAGCCAAAAGAATCAGGCATGAATCCTGCTCTCAAATAACTCACACCAGAAAATATAGGATAGAGTTCCTGGAGTGAAATTGCTCCTTGGGGAAGTTAAAGATTCACTAGGCTACAGGTAAATGTCCAAGCTGTTGAGAGAGGAGAGAGAGAATATGGGACTGGAGTGGGCAAGGATGCAGACTGTCGGAGGTGGGGTTTGGGCTAGAGCCTGAGAAGGGCGGCTGTTAAGGTAACAAGGAGAGGCAAAGGCTCACGTGTGGGGGTAAGTCAAACACATAGAAGGATCAGTAAGAGAAATCTGACCAAATGAAGGAGGAGGGAGAGTAAACTTACACAAGAAAGGGAAAATAGGACTTGACTGGGCATCAGGGCGTGCCAACTCATTGAAATTGGACTTCATTCTACAGACATTTGGGCACTTTGGAGAATCTAACATTAATATGCTCAAAGCACTTTTTGTAAAACCTAGATTATTCTGACAGTGCTGGGCAGGTTGGGTTTGAAGCTGACAACAAGTGAAGATGTTCTGTTAAAAGCCACATTAAAATGATCCATGACCCCAGACTCAAATGGTGAAAATGTGGAAGGAAAGAAATGTGCAAAGGAAATCTTTTTGCTAGTATAAAGAAGATCTCACTCAAATGGACATGTTTAAAGTTTTTATTTCTCTTCAATTGTAATTGAAGAGAAATAAATCTCTTTCTAATCATTTGTCCAGTATAAAGCTAACAAGGATGCAAAAATAAAAAATAATATAATATTGATACAAACTACAACATGAGTCTCAAAAACAATGCTTAAGTGAAAAAAACTAGATGCAAAAGTTCATATTGAATGATTCCATGTCTATAAAAAGTCCAGAACAGGAAAATTCATAGATAAAGAAAGGAGGGTTTGGTACTAATTTTATATGTAATCAGTTCATTAGTGAATATTTTCATGTAATGATGACTTTTTCTTCCTTATACATCTCAGTGAATATGGTGTTTCATAAAATAAATGTTTAGCTATTGAGGACCGTTTGAATACCCTAGAAATGAGAAATAAACAACATTATTCCAGTCTTTAAAAAATTTAAGTGGATAATATCATCTGAAGAAACGTCAGAAGAAGCAGATTTGGAATCCTGACTTGGCTATTTACAAAAGGGATAATTTTGAACTAGTTACCTCTCTGTTTTCATTTTCTCTTAATTAAAGGGGAAGGGATTAGATTAATTTCTAAACTCTTCTTGGTCTAACATAACTAAATATCTAAAACGGTTTTGCAGCTATTATCTATACATTTTCTCGCTTAGTATCTAAGGATTTGTACTCAATTTTATTTGCACAAAGTCACAAAAGTAAGATGAAGGTAGTTTTCAGCAACAGTTTCACCACATGTATTTGTGGTTGTGGTAGGTTGGGCAGGTCAAATCCTTTACAAGAAACTCAGTGGAGGAATAACTATGTTTTCAGAGAGAAGTATTATCAGAACAAGTTAGTGCATTTCTGCCTTCAAAAGCAGAGGGCAAAACCAGGCTTATTTAACCATTTTGTCTTTCTGAGTCAGATTGAAAAGGAAGAAGCACAAGCTGAACACAGGATGAAAGAAAAAAATGAATAGACTTTTTTTTTTAAATAATGGTGTTAGACTTATACCTTCAGACTTACTACATTTTTTTTCTTCAAACTTTTAGGTCTTTTTGTTTTTCCTTGTTACATGTGTATTTACATGTTGAGAGTTTGAATTTTGACTTGCTAACTTCAGTTTTACTAGTCATTTCTCCTTGACTCTTACGGGGCGTCGAGGAATAGTGCCTGTCTCCTGGCCATCTGGGATTCTACTTGCCAGCTTTCTGACTCAGTGGCTTTTCCTAAAGTCTGTATACTCCAGACAAAGAGGTCAGCTCTGTGTGCCTCTTCTTACTGCCCACTTGCTGTTTATAGCATTCACATATAGATCCATCAGTACCGTTTAACTTCCCAGCCTCACCAAAGTTTAGAGGCTGGAATGGAAGATTGCCCTTTCCTGCTCCCCTCTAGCTCTCCAGATTGTAAACTACACCTCCTCTCTTGTTGCAACCTGAAACTTCAGGGAGAAGGAGTAAAAGTGGTGTGATGCCAGGGAAAATACCAGCACCTTCTCTGTGGATGCAAAGGCTGCACAGAACATTTCAGGCAATTATCTCTCAGGCAGTCAGAGAGCATTCTATAAATAACATGTGAACTAATAAAATTTGTATTTACCCTTTATATTTAAACATGTTTAAATTAAATTTATTGAAGTGACATTGGTTAATAAGATTAAATGTCTCAAGTATTTGTAGCAATATACATTAAATGAAATACTTTTTGTATTTAATAATTTGTTTTAAACCAGATTGACAAATGTTTATGAAATACTTCTGTTATGATGATGGTTTACTTTATCATTCTAAAAGTAATATATTTATGTTTCTGCAGAACATTATTCAGTTGTGAGTTAGAAGGATAATTTCAATAGAATTCTTGTCCAAGGAATACATCGTATATAGGTAACATAAATGTAAATAAACATAAGATTTACTATACCCTTTGTAAACATTACTAAATATTGTGTATGCCCAATCTGCTATATATAAAAACTAAAAAATATTATAGGCTTTTATTGTCATCCTTTGTTACTTATGTCAAAATAATGGTAAATATGCTTTTTAAAGTCCTTGATGACATGGCTTTAATAATATACTCACTGTTTTTAAAAGAAAAGATTCAATGATGAATGGCTATAATTACAATATTTAATCATTTTAGTATATTAAAATATAACAATGATTTATACTTATAATCTAATAGAATTGTTTCCAAATGGGAAACAACTTTGCAGTATGTTAAATAAATTTGGAATCGCATTGCTGCTTTGTAGTCCAGTTTCTGCTGAGGCTTAAGGTGACCATATTTCAGGACGGGTTTGTTTGCAGCAGTGCAATGGGGCTGTTGTGGCCATGAAGATCACAAAACAAAAAGATGACACCTGACCAGGCAATGTGTCATGTTTCTAGAATCATTGTTATGATTTTCATTGACCCAATAATTGAGGAGGTCTAGACACAATGACCAGAGAAAATTAGAGCTTTGGGGAAGTAGAAGTGCAAAGTAGAAATAAACATTATGTAATAAGCTAATATAAAAAATTCTTTTTACTAAACTAATAGGTAATGAATGGTATTACTGATTATATTATCTTAGTTTCACTTCTTGATTATGACTGGTTGGTTGTAAACATTTTTTCATGTTTTAATTTGAATGTTATTGTGTGTTACTATTGATGCTATTTGCCCATTTTCAGTCTGTATAGTTTTTTAATTTTTGATGTGATTTTTATTTTTATTTTAACAATTATTCATTATACTGCCCTGACTGGTGTGGCTCAGTGGGCTGGGTATTGTCCTGCAAACCAGGAGATTGCCAGTTTGATTCCAGTCAGGGCCCATGCCTGGGTAGCAGGCCTGGGCCCTGACTGGGGACGTGTGGGAGGCAACTGATCAACTGATGTTTCTCTCACACATGGATGTTTCTCTCCCTCTCTTTCTCCCTCCCTTCCCATCTCTAGAAACAAATAAAATAAATGAAATCTTTAAAAAAATAATTATACTCTTATACTATCTTATTGGTAGGAAAATGTGTTTTTTAAGTATGTCCCATTTTGGTTATGTATCCTAAAATTTTTAATTTTTTTAAAATTTCCTTTTTTTTATGATTGTAAGATATTTCAACACTACAAAAAAAAACTCCAAAACTTAAACTTAAAAAAACAAAAAAACCCCTAAAGTACAGAGATGATTTTAACCTTCTCTAATTAATAATTAACATTTTATTTCATGTTAACATATTCATTTCATGAATATATGTGTATATGCTACATATATTCATATATGTCAATATGTAAAAATATGTACACATTCATACACACATGGTTTTATTAAAAGGGGATTATTTTTCTGCCTTATAGGACACAGTTTTCCAATAAATATAGTTACCATTATTTCAAAATATTTGAATGGTCATCCATTATATACATATGTTAATCATCCATTCAACAAATATTTATTGAACCACTTAACAATGCTGTATAGCAGCATTATTTTATAGTCGCTGGGAACAAAGCAATATACAAAACTCCTGCAAAGGTTGAGTTTGAATGTTATTGGGGAAAATATACGGTAAACAAATATTTTATAAATAGTACTAGGAAAGAAAAATCAAGGAAAAGGATAGAGAGTGCTAGGTCGGCATAAGGGGCTACGGTACTTTAGGAAGGCCTTGTAAGTGGGCAGGGAACTAACTGAAGTACGAGAGCCCACCACACTGGTCTCTAGGGCAAAGTCATTTTAGGCAGAGAAAGTACAACTGCAAGTTCACAAGGTAAGCTTTTCATAAAAGCAATTTGATATTGGTTAACATTTAGGTTACTTCCAATTACTTAAAATTTGAAACAAGTTTGAAGAGACTATTCTTGTTAAAGATTTTCTAAATTCTTGCAAGTGTTCTAACTGTTCTCAATTTTTATAGCTCCTTTTCCCCTGTTGTATGTCTTCATGGCTATATAGTTAGGAAGATATGAAAATGTATATGAAAGGATATCAATTTGATGCCATCTCATTCCATAGGTTCTAATTTATATTTTTAGAGAAAAAGCAGAATTTTTACAAAAGAAAAAAAGGGTTTAAATATATTAAAATATAAATGTAATTTAAAGGAGAATTTTTATACTTAAGACCAAAAAACGGAAATGACTTGCTTTTAGTTTCTACTGCTACTTAGTTCTTTCTGTTTATGCCCTTTTAATATCATGGCACAAAATCACTTTAATATAAATCACTTAATACAATCTTGTGGTGATGTTTAATAAAATCCCTTAAAAATAAGGACTATGCCACATAAAGCTTTTTGTGTTGCTGTTTTTTCTTCTTTAGGTAGCTGATGCCAAATCTCTCTCAGGTCCTTTTAAAGTCCTGTCTGTGAAGACAAAATGGAGTAACATTGGCTTTCATATCCTTCTATTTGACTTGGAAAATCTTGTTGAACTCCTGCTGTCGACTCCAATCTGTGATAGTGACCCTTCCAGTTCATTTTATGGTAGTGAGATCCTGAGAAGAGCCAAAAGTACAGTAGAGAAGAAAACATTGACATTGAAAAGAAATAAAACTGCCTGTGGTCCCCTCTCAGCAGAGGCACAAGGCAAGCCTGTTAGTGAAACCCCAGCCCAAGGAGAAAATTCCATCACAGTTTTAGAAGAAAATGATGGCATTAAAAGGCAGAAGAAAATGAAGAGCTCCAAAAAGATGCACCCTACGCCATCAAGAAAATTTGATGCTAACCTCATAATTGATGCAGCCAAATTGCTCCTATCTTGCCTCTTGCCATGGGGAGTAGATAAGGAATTGGATAATCTCTGCATTAAGCATCTCAATATTTTGAAGCTTCAGGGTCCAGTTTCTTTAGGGCTTGCATCAAATGAAGATCACTTCTCACTGATGCTGCCAGGTTGGGATTTATGCAATACGGAAATGAAAAAAGACTATTCAAAAGGAAATTTATTTTCCAGGAAAGTTTTGGACTTGTCAGATAAATATACATCCACTCTTTCAAATCAAGCCGGGATGCCAAGAGGACTGGAACATAGTTGTGATTCTTTGCATGAGTCAAACACTATAATTTATTTATTGAGAAGACTATTTTTAGTTAACAAATTAGTTAACATGCCTGTAGAATTGGAATATGGAATTGATGGGTAAGGCATGCCAAGAAATTTTTGACTATTCTTATTTGGGACATTAAAAAAATTATTATTATTTGCTATATTCAACTCTCTAACCTCTTTTCTCTCCTTTCTTCCTTTACATGAAGAATATATATGCAACAACTCCTTTAGCTCCAAACACATTTTAGAAAATCTTTCTTTAATTTTAGGGATTAGAGGATAATTTGAGCAATAAATCTATGTTTTATAATTTATTAATTCAATAAATATCCATTGCTCTCATAATATGTGCCAAGAAAATCAGAGTGCTGGATGCTGAATGCTTCAATAGATACATATACATACATACATACATACATACATACATATATAATACCTTGAAATCCATTGTAAAGCTGTGAATTAAATAGGAACAAAGAACATTTAGGTAAATGCCTATGATGATATATTTTATATATCATAAGGAAAAGAATAGTTTAAAAATTTTATACCTCAAACCCCACCATTTAATTTATACTTTGGCATATTAAAATAGAAGAAACCATCAGTAATTAATTTATAGAAAGTACAGTTTAATCATAACTATTGTTTTTGACTGTTTAACATCTACTAGTCACCATGTTAGCCCTTTAAATACAAGATTTCATTTAATACGCACAGCAAAGCTGAGTTATAGGTACTATTATTTTGCTCATTGTAGAGGGGAGGATATTAAGGCTTATGGAGAGAAGATACCAATCTCAAGATTAATTCATCTTCTTAGAGTCAGATTCAAGGCTGAACATCAGTCTAATTCTAGAGCCTGATTAATTACTAACCTTGATTCTGAGTGTTTACCCTCTTTCACTGCTAAAATTCAATGTAATTTTTCATAGTCTGATATTAGAAGATTTAATTCAGTTCACCAGGTACTTACTGAAGGTGTCCTTAGCACTAGCCTACAGGGGAAATATAAATAAATTTCTCATTGGGATATGAGCTCATGCAAATTATAAAGATAATTGCACATGAAATATGTAGAAAACATTGAAGTAAGGTAAAGAAACTAGGAAAAGCATTTGTGGTATAGGTTGTTATAGGTGGTCAGTGTAAAGAGATTAGTATGAGATGAAACATCTAGAAAGCCTTTATAAAAGAGACACTGTTTGAACTACCCAACACATGGTGGTAAAGGGTCCTTAACATTTCTGTTCTTTGATAAAGGCTCAATTCAACAAGTATCTGTGCCAGGCACTGTATAATACAGGTGGAGTTTCTGACCCTGGCGAACATACTGTCTGGTAGCAAAGCAAGTCCATATAGATTAAGTAGGATTCAGTATTAGGCTTCCTTCCATTATAATACTTTGTGCTGGAGTTTCCATTCTGTGGGCCTAATAATGAGAAAACAGACAAGTAAATTTCAGTACTTTATTATCCTCTCTTTTATTCTGTTTGTTTTAATTTCTTTTTAATTTCAGATAGGCTCTTTTACTTTTCTTTCTATTATAAAGAAAATTGCATAGCACCTAAAGTATGGTTTTAAAAAAAAATGCAGTCAGCCTGGAGCCTGAAAACCTAGGAATGAATCTTGATTTTTGTTTGTTTGTTTGTTTGTTTAACTAGCCTTGTGGCTTTGGACTAGTCACTCAGCCCTCTGGGCTTTGCTTTCCTCATTTACAAAATGAGGTGGGTGGGATAGGTGATCATTAAGATTTCTTCAAATTCTTAAAAACTCGAATTCCTAACAAATTACATTTATTTGCCTAATTGTGATCCCATAGAGCAGGTCAGGAACTTTGTTATTGTTTACCAGGGGGGTTCATCCTGAGTTTGTTCCTGATTACAAAGTACCAGAGTGCAGGATATGCCTCCAGTCCTGTAGGGGAGATGATGGGCTTTCACCATGCCTTCCCTTAAAAGGCCTTAAAATCACTTCCACGCTTTAGATAATTCTTTACAGAATCCTCCATTAAAACAAATTATTGAAGGGAGATGTCAGGATTAGAGACTGTTTCCCCAAGTCAGGCACTTCAGGTTTGATATGCTGTTACAGACTTCATGTCCTTTTGCAGGAAATCAAAATAATGTGTATTAGATTTGCCACACCAAATGCTTCCAGCAAATCCTTCAACCATTTTCTAGCATTTCACTGTGATGGTGAAGGCTGAGAAATCCTTCCCTGCTTAACAATTGGTGCATGACCTAACTGAATTTCAAGGAAAGAGCTATCTGCATCTGAGAACATCCTTGGACAGCATCTGAAAGTTGCTGCTGAGTCACTGGATTAGCGTAAAACCTGCCTTCATCGGGTTCTGACAGTACCTGGGGAGAATTCTTCGGCAGATATCAACATATTAGGATTCAAAAATGTATTGCAATAGCCACAAATTGCATAACCTAAAGTAGAAAGGCCCCTTCTGTAGAAGTGGGTCACAAGATAATACTGGTAGACTGATTCACAATTCAATTGGAATTAAGGTTTTAGGTAGGAGCAAAGTGGGGAAATAAGATTCATCAAAAAGATTAATGTGGAAGACATTGCTAAAAATAATCTGTGGTCGTTTCCCAAGTCTGTTAAAGTGGTCATGTGCTCATATCTTTCAATTGTTTTTCAAAATATTTTTCACACATCCTTTAAATCTTTTTTTTCCCCCAACAGCTCTTTCAAAATGGAATCTGTGCAAAACAAAGTGAAAAGTCCTGGGAGTGATATTTTACATATTTCAAGCTTCTACAGTTACTTACGAAATGGTAAGGACATTATAGATATAGTCTGTTTTTCTTTTTACTTCTATGATATAAAATAACTAGTATTTCTATAACTGGATAGCACTCCACCGTTGCGAATGAGCAATATGTCTATTTATTGTTTGACTGAGTCTGTATTTCACATGGTTATATTTTTGTATTCTGCCAATATTAAGATATATATGAACATTTTTATTAAAATAAATAGCATAAAACACATAATGTGATGATTTTATCAAATGAGCTTTGAAATGCCTGATAGTCTGAAACTTTCTGAAAGTCTGAAATATTTGTGTATTAAATTAAGTTTTTATGGGGAAGTTTATTGCATCAGTATCTTTATTACCAAATAAGTGATTACTATATTAGAGAATTTTAGAGTTATTTCAGAAGTCATATAATGGTCCTTGAAATCTGAATGAAAAATTTGGTGTTTAGATTTTCTTCAGATACCAACTGGCTATTTCATTCCCAAAACGTGCTTCTCCAAAACCTTGACTTCTCAGTAAAAGGCAATTCTATCCTTCCACTTGTTAAGGCCAAAAATGTTGGTGTCATTTTGACTTTTTGCTTTCTCTCATACCCCAGATCCAATCTTTTAATAGTCATGTTGGTTCTACCTTCAGAATAGATCCCAGATTTTGACTGCATTTCTCCATTACAGAACCACCCTTCTCGGCTCTTAATCACCCCTTGCCTCGACGACGACTACAAAGCTTCCTAACCACCCCTCTGCTCCCATGTTTGGTTCCTGTACTCTGTTCTCAACCAAGCACCAGAGTGAGGTTGGAAATTAATCAGAACCTCATGCTTCTGCTTAAAAACCTTTCAGTGGCTTCTGTGTCACTCTGAATAAAAGCCACAGTGTTTGGATAGCTCACAAGGCCCTATATAACCTGGCTTTTCTACCTATGTCATTGCACACACACCCTCATCTGACCTCATCTCTTTGTTCTCCCTTCTTGCTTCCAACGGTCCAGCTACACTGGCCTTTTTACCCTGTTTTTCTTCTTATGACAGCTTTATGCACTGTTACAGTCCCAATTCTTTGAACAATGCCTGCAAAGAATTAAGCAAATATTTTTAATTAATGGACCAATAGCAAAAGGAACAGAAGTTTTGGAGGTAGCTAAGGTTCAAAATCCAGTTCTGGCATTTATTATTTATACGACTTTGGGCATGGCTTTAGTTCTTTAAAGGCTGTATTTACTACATATGTGAAATAGGAACCGTATTCCAGATTCAATGTACATGTTGCCTCCAAAGTTGTGTAGTACATTATTGATACATTGGAATGATCAGAACAACCTAGGGGCCCTCACAGGGTTTTGAAAAGAATATTAGAGATATTTTAAAGTGGGAGTTTATTAATATTGTAGCTTCCAATTACTCAGTGCCTGGCATGTTCAAACAGTTATGTTAATAATTTTCCACATATTATATCAATTAATATATAAAGGACCCTAGATAGTAGGGGAACTATCTCTGTTTTACCCCTAGAAAAACCAGCGGTCAGGGAAGTTAGATGCTTTACTCCAAGTTTTAAGCAGAGGGGCCCGCATTCCAATCCATCTTTGCTTCATTCCAAACACTTCGCTCTTTCCCTTATGTCAGGCCACTTTGCTCAGTTATGATTTGAAGTCATTTTCTCCCTATATGGCCCCATTCTAAGTAGCTTCCCTTTTCCTTAGGTAGTAGTCCTTCTTAGGATATTTATCCTCATTTTTATATTAATGACACAAAGAAACAGACTAGAATTTAAGTCATAATACAGGTGGTTTTTGCAGAGACCGAGGGAGCAGCCAGTCAGGATCACGGAAGCCCCAGATTTCCCTCTGGCTGTCCCAACCGAAGCAGCTCCAGCAACCAGTGTTGTTACTGATGCCCCCATGATGTTTCGAGTTGGCATTTATAGCATTGAAAATCCAGCTGGGTAATAAGGAAGCATGGTTTGTGTTTTAATAATTGGAAAATGAGAGGGAAAGGGAAAGGAGGGATTTCTTTCGTGTTATTTATCCTATAACCAAAGCCTGAAGAATAAAATAACACCATGGTGCTCATTCTAAAGGGCTGACAGGAACCAGTAGCCATGGCTATCAGCAGTAATGGTGACTAGGTAATATTGGAAAGCTGGGATGTTTTCTTGTTATCCTTCCCCCCTGACATTGCAATTAATTCTTTTAACTTACTGACATTGCCAAGAAAAGTTGGCTCTCCTTTCTACCTCATATTAAAATTTCAACATCACATTAAAGTGCGTTGTGAAGTATCCCATGATGCCAGTAAGTAGTTACAGTTGAGACCAATACTCGCTTTGATGGTAAAATCACAAGGTCAACAAAAAGAAAGAAGAAGGAGAGAGATCAAAAAAAGTCTCCTACCTGCTGTGCTTGAGAAGAAATGGAAAATATGACTTCAAAATTATAGTGCATGCTTGCATGTTTTATGGACTAATCTTGTTCATTTCAAATTCATATTATATGTTTCATCAGGAAAAAATAATGATATTAATAAGTCATAAGTTTTATATATATATATTTCTTTCATGTCCTCAATTTACATTGTATCTGACACCTTCTAACACATTTCTTGTAGCCGTTAATGTAATACACACACACCCTTATCTATTTAATAGTTCATATTTAAAATAGTGATTTAATGAAATACATATTGAAATAATACTAATTTTAAAAGTTGATAGCAGGATTTCAAACATATATTAATACATTACTTTAAATATACGGTTAAAGCCATTTTTCCCTCCAGCACAAGCTCTCATTGTTTTTTATCTCGTTCCTGGGATCTGTCACCTAGATAATATATTTTATCTATCAGAAAGCCTTAATTCATTGGTTTTTCATTTGGATGATAATGCGTACATTTTCAATCAATGAAAAGGTACTTATTAAGTGCATTTTTGTGTAGGAAACTGCTAGACACTCTATGGATCAATTTAAATAAACCAAACCTTAGCTCACTCTTAAAATTTCACACTGAACATTAAGGCAAATGGATAAAAAGAAGATTCAAGAGGGCAAACTTAAGAGAAACAATACATAACAAAATGAGGGAAATTGAAACAGAAGTACTGTACCTATTGATCAGAGTGGTATAGCTGGGTAAGGACAAATCAGAGGAAGTCTTTTATGATTTCCATGTAAGATGCAATGCACAATTTTAGGAACTATTTGTATGAAGAAGAAATTATAAAATTTGGTGATTTGTTTTGGGTAGGAATATGAATCACTGCTTTTTGTTGGCAAAAAAGGTACAAAGATGGGTTTAAGGTGTACTTGTAAAGATGAATTTGACTTATTGTGAATATGTATTAGTATAATTATTAAAAATACATAATAAATTAATTAATGGTTCTCAACTGTGGCTATTCCTGAAAATCTTCAGAGGGACTTTTACAAAGTATTAATGCCTACCCTACCCTCATCCTGAGATCTATTAAATCAGAATCTCTGGAAGACTGACCCTGGATATTGGTGTTTGCAAAACAAAATCTCCCCAGGTGATTCTAGCATGCAGCTGGAGCTGAGGACCATTAGGGTGCATCCATTTATAATACTTTCAAGACATAAATGTGTTCTATATTTCTAGGTAAGCCTGAATCCCACATGCCTGAAGCTGACGTTTCACTTTTGAAACTAATTTCCTGTTGGAGAGACCAGTCTGTGCAGGTATGGCACCTCTCATGTTCTTAAAATTATGGAAGAGTTTCTTGCTGCTATAGTTCATTCATACTCTCCTTTATTTGAAAGTACAGGCAAGTAGATACTCTTGTCCTCGTAAAATGTCCTCTCAGGGCATTTCATTTAACAGAGCTAATACAGAGACCAATAATGAGGGGCAAAGTGGAAAATAACATATGCAAGAATGTATCAAGTTAGGGGTAAGAATGGACAGAGCTAAGGAAGAAATGTTCCTGTTATCAGTAACTTATTGCTCATTGAGGTTTCAGTTTATGGCAGAATTGTCTATTGTTTTATTTCAAAATGTGCCATGTTTAAAGGTCCCTATGTTTAGGAATTTGGTAAGTGGAATTAGAAATCATTTTTCTATCCTGAGAGTACATCATCTGTGAGCTGATTTAGAGAACTGGTTTCAATGCCCAATTTAAGTTTTTTCTCTTTCCAGGCTTTTTTAGGTCCTAAAAACTAAGTGAATAGCTTTGTACATTGTACAAGAAATATCTGTACATTGATTAGGTAGTTATTGGAATTTTATTCTTCTGTATGAGCTTATTGACTATCAGATTGGCAAGACAAGAGTAGCAATAACTCCAATTAAAAATGGTTACTTGGGTTACAGGAAAACAAAGAAAATTAACTCAGAACAAGTTGTGGGGGGTTACACTATGAAGTCAAACAAACAAAACTGGAATGGCTATTGAAACTTATTACCATGGCCTACAGGTTTCTATATGATTTGCCTCTGGCTTAACCTCTTTTCTCATCACTCTCCCTCATATTCTTACTAGCCACATTGATCTTTATTCTTCCTCAGGACCTTACTGTCTTCTTAAGCTATAATTCTCATTTTTCCATTCATCATTTGCTCAAAGCCAACTTCTTAGACAGGCCTTCCCTGATCACTCCATCTAAGAGTGCCCCCTCTCCCTCCCCCACCCCACGCCTCCAGACCCATTGCATTGCGCAGTTTCATTTTCCTTGTTGTGCTTGGTTTTAATGGAAATTATACCATGTGAGTTTTGTTTTTGTTGTTTTGTCTGTTTATCTTCTGTCCCTTCAACTGTTACAGCAATTTGCTGAGAGCAAGGCCTTTGTCTCACTCATCTCTTTTTGACCAGTGCCCAGAAAACCAGTAGTGACAGTAGCCAGTCAATAAATATTTAATGAATGAATGAATGAATAGCTATGCAAAAAAGACTCTGTGATAATCAAGTGAACATTCGTACATGTTGTCATAACCAGCATATTAACAATCACTCTAAGAGTCTATCTATTAAAGGTAAGATTTCTTTTTCTTCAGTAGCCAAAGAATTCCACAATGGGGAAAAAGTCCTTAAGAAAAAGGATTCAACAGAACATTTATCCTGAATCGCTCCAACTAAATATCTTTTGCAGTTGTTCATTTGACCTTCAGATAAGTTTTAATGTGATTTGGACATGTTTAGACTAATGGATCTTTTAGGTTCTATGATTCTATGACCTTGTGCAAAATGCTGGGAGCAGGAAAAATATTACCAGAGCATTTATGACTCATACTATAGGAAGTCCAAGCTTTACAGTTTTTCTCTCATCTTGGCCTTTACCCTGATGAATGACACTGGAAGATAGGTTTAACATGACTATTTGTTTTCCTCGTGTGTAGAGTGGAAATGAGAATTCCTAGGTCCTTCAGGAAAAACAGACTTTTGTGAGTATTCATTTAAATGCTTCATTAGCAGTCCTCAAGTTACTAATAAAGCAGTTCATTTAAGCTGTTAGTTGAATCACGTTAACTTGAATCTACTTTTCAATGTTTTTTAGGAGCTCTAGGTGAGACTGGAATGCTTTTGTAAAATTGAGCCAAATTCTACTTCAGAAATTGAATGAGGGGATACCTTTAAGGGAGGAGTAAGGAGTATATTTTTCAGATAATAAGTTTGTCTGGAGATTGTCCCTTTTGCTTCTCACCCTAGAAACATACCCAACATAAAAATAAATGCTGGAAGAGCAACAGCAAGGTTTTGGATTTGCTCATCTGCATGTTTCTGAAGCTGCACTTAAATTCTTGGGATTTTATAAGCTAACTCCAGGGGGTGAAATATGACATCCAAGCCTCTAAGGCAGAAGTGCTACCTTTCGGGAGATGCTGCAACGGCATGAAAGGCCAGTGTGAGCTGAGTGTTGGGGAAATGCTTTTATGCCAGAAAATTGAACATTGAACTACACACAGACCTTGGGGTCTCTTATCAGTCTTCATAACATTCTGTGCTATTTCACTTTGCTGTTTCAAGGTGTTAGTAGAAAACCATTAAAAGTTTTAGCCTGCCTATAACACTGTAATACTTCCAGTAATAAGTGTACGTCCCAGATTTGTGGCTGTCTCTTTCCAGCCAATGGATTTGTAAACCTTATTTTAAATCACAGCACATTCCCTCATAAACGTGTGATACTTTGCATATGATCTATTTTCAGAGAAACTTGCATTTGGAAGACAGATTTATAGCCATACTGCTTTCAATTCTAGCTATTATTAAAATCACAAAGTTTGTAAATCACTGTATAAATTTTATATTTTGTGGGGGTAAATTTTATCTCTACCATCTATAAAATTTTTCTAGTCTGTTTATAAACTACAGAAACTCAAGTATTGATAGTTAGAAATTATCAATAAATTCTACTTTCCATAGTTTGTATTTTTAAAGTGTACAGAATCTATTTCAATCCCATTAACATTTATTTAGTGCCCACTGCATACCAGATGCTGTGACAACATTGTTACCTGTTTATAAACTGTATATTTCTCTGAATTGGAATCATGCTTTGTTGATTTCACACTGAGCATATAAAGTGTGTATTTTCAGTTTGTTTCCAACTGGGCTTGTGCCATTCAGTATTCACTTTTAAGATTTGTGGCTCCGAGTATCTTACTCATTACTTTTAATATGTTTTATTCTGTTATTTTTGCTTCCCCTTGTTTTTTAATACTATTATGAATTCTTACAATATGCACTTGTAGGGACAAATATGTCAAAAAACAAAATTCAACAGTTAAAAATGTGGTCATAATATATAAATCCAATAATTGGAAATGTGACATCAAATTACATACATTCCCATCTACTTTTAAGGAAGAATATTGATCCAAGTTGTCGTAAACTGTTCTACCCAGTGGGATAGAAAATATTCTAAATCACAGTCGTGGGAGCTCCTCAGAGATGATAATGATCCCAGTGAGACGACAGCCAGTGTTCCAGGGTAAAATACAGCCAAACCACTCTTTTTGAGGGATAGATCATAATCTGGATGTACCATGGGTCTGAGGACATCCTCCAATAATAGCCTTCTGAATTATAGTTATAGACAGAAGAAAGTTCCACACAACATTCTGTGATTGGAAGCTCTCATTCCAGCCTCTCTCTGTAACACAGACTGTGTCTTGTAAGTGCGGACATGAAGTCCAGAGAAGTGTCTGAACTTGCCGCAGGTAGCATTTGTAGTTACTGTCATAGTTGGATCAGAAACTCGGGCTCCCTCAGTTCTGACTTAGAGCTCTTTGTACCACATCATCCACATCTTATAATTAGTGATGTCAAATAAAACGTGTGACAAAATTAAAATGACATCCAGTAATGTAAAATTGTTTATGAATAATTAATATAATTCGTTCCATCATATGATATACATAAATAAGCATGGTTCACCAAATTGTGGTGGAGTATATGTTAATAGGCATTATTTTAATAGTTAACATCATATAACATGGTAGATATTAATAGGCATGGTTCACCAGTATCACAATATGCAGAACTGTATGTTAGATTCATAGCATGCAATAGCTGACACAGCGTTGAGAATCTCATCACATGATATGCATGAGGAAGCATTATGTACCTGCACTGTGACAGACAGCACTATAATGTTAGTAGACATGGTATGCAATAGTAAAATCACTTCATTCTACCTAACCCAGCTTTTGAGTGGACAATAACAAAGGGGCGATCAGTGATCGGGAAGCCACTCTGATACTTTTGGGAAGCTTCCCATATTGAAGGTCAAGGGCTGAGCTGCTTCTGCCCTAAGCTTCTGCCCTAGTAGTTCAGAAAGTATATGTCATCAGCAACAGCTCTCTGAGTGTTCCTAGAGCCTAAAATTCTCACACGCTGCCATGCCACATAAAAGAGACCAAATATTTAGATGAATACGTGTTTTGTTTTTGGCATCAGCCTCTCCCCATCACCAGTCTCAGCGTTTATAAAGCCCAAGCCCAGGCACTATATGAGTAGACTGGAGATAATGCAGAGGAGATAATGGAAACTGTCATTGGAGGGTGCGCTTTGGAGAAGGAAAGGAGCAGGCATTGGGTTGTGGCCACATGAAAGGTTTAACTGTCTGCCAGAAAGGGTAATGGGAAGGTGTCCCAAGCTCACCTAGATAGTGGTGACCTTCCTTTTTTCTGATTCAGCACTTGATTTTCCTTGAACTTGACTTAACTCCTGGACCTTGTCTCATTTCTTTCCAGAAAGAGGCTAAGGCGCACTGGCTTTTAATACTCAGGGATAATGGTATAGAACTTTGGAATGAGATATACAAAAAGGACATAGAAGCAAGGCTCGGAAGGCCTGTTCACAAAATCTGTGTGGAACTTGGGATATCATGTCCCAGATTCTTAATTTTAAAAATGAAGATAGTCGATTAGATGCCCAGGGATAAGCACTCCCCCACCCCTTCACTCAACCACAGATCCTTGACTGGGTATGTACAATAATCAGAAGCTGCACCTTGCAGTACTTTGAGCTACGTAAAGCCACATACACATACACAGAGTTTAGTGAGATTTGTTATTAAGATTTTGTCTTTAACCTTCTGCATTAAACCTAGTTTAAATCAAATGTTTTAAGCTAAATAGTGCTTTAGAGCTAGACATTGTTTGAGGATCTAAATTGTCTTTAAGAGCATTATGATATACTCAAATTAATTTTGTTTACTTTTGGGTGGAAATGAAAATGTTTTAGGAGAAAGAATTCAGAACTCCTTTCAGTTTTCCTCTACAATCTCTTATATTTACAAAAGAGTGATGGTGGTTTGGGTTCCAGTTCTCAGTATCTGCCAATTATTTCAGATACTAATCCACGTGGAATGGAGCACTGCAATTTATATGAAACCTTTCTAATCAAAATTCTAGGCTTTGAGATTTGTGCAAGACCCCAAATATTGGTAATAATACTAAATTTAATTTATATGTAAACACAAACTTAACAGGTAACTGAAGCAATACAAGCTGTTCTTTTGGCGGAAATTCAACTGCACATGAAGACCTTGAGAAAGACACCAAGCAGCAGTCCACCAGGGTCCATGAGTGAGAACGGTAACTATCAGGTAATGCAGATGCGGCCAAAGACGGACTGGACTGAGGAGCTGGAGTTACAGTGCATTCCAGATAATTTGCCACTGCAAAGTAAGTGCAAAATTTATTGGCATGCTCTTTCATCTGAATTTTTCTACTACTTAGTTCTTGCTGAGAATGTGAGTTCACAATATATCATTTCTGCAAAAACCAAGGCAAGTGCCCTGTTTCTGACCTATTCTGCCATTAATTTCCTTTTACAAGTGTCAAGTTTTTAAAGAACTTCTAAGTTTTATTATAACCAGTAAATATTTTCTAAAACAAAAATTTATATCATTTTTAGAAAATGTTTTGAAGTTAAGTGATTAAAAATGAAAACAAGATTAACAGCAATAGCTTAATACATTCAAAGGATACCCTGATAATAATGGGTCCTAAGATTGTGTTCATTTGATACCTTGATAATAACCATGAGCCAGATTTTTTCTCTTTTGGGGGAATAAGAGATGGAATATGAACTAATATTAAACTGGTTTATAGTTGGAGCACATGATTTTGTAACACATTTTGTCATTGTAATTTTATAATGATGATGTTTCTGGTTTATGGATAGCAAGTAAATCTAAATTTTTGCTATACAACATTAACTAATTTTTCAGCCATTAGCTGTGACTTTAAAAAAAAGAAAGAACAGTAAAAAATTAAGTATAAATTTGATTTTCAAATAGTAAGCTTTTAATGAATAAATTTATTTATAATATGATTAAATGTATATTCTTGTCAGGAAAACATGTTACAAATTTACATGTTCCAGGCTGTTAAAAACTGTTAGGTATTCAAAAAGAATTTTCTTTTTATTTATTTGGGACTCAAATAACTACAGAGAATTGCTGCTGTAGTTAAAGTGTTTAAGTCTTAGAAGAGATGTCATTCTTAAAAATGAATTATACTTATTTCTCCTTACTATGTTTATAAGATTACTGATTGGAGAGCACTATGTAGTGAGAGAAGATATACAGCAGAAAAAAAAACACCTTCTTCAGTGAAGGTCAAAAATCGAAATAGAATATTTCCTGATACCAAGACAGTTACTGAGGATGGAAAATTCAATAAGTAATTTGATAAAGCTCAATGGTGATTTTAAGTCATTTGTTCGTTGTCCACAAATTAGCTTTAATTATCTGATAAATTGACCGACTTGGAGGAGCTCCTTTTTGATCGTATCACATAATTATAGTTCCATTACACATTTCAAGCAAGAAGCATAAACATTTCTTTTTAAATTCATTTTCAATGATTGTATTTGAGTTCTTGATTCATTTGGAGAGGTACCTATAGAGTCATTACTAGGTTTCTTCCAACTTTCCAAGGACTGCTAGTGTCATTCATCATGTGTTAGCACTTGTTAGGTGGCATTTCTGTGCCTTATTCCTAAACTTGACTGTAACTTACCCATTGGCCCAAAGCCCTATTTTCTGGATGAGAAATTCATGGCAGGCCATCGATGTGAAATTTTTGATAAGTTTTACTATCACATGGCCCACCCATTATCTGAAGTTTCACTGAGGCTCTGCTCTGTCCCCAGCTAATTATTGGAGATAAGAACTATTAATACTATGGAATTTACTTACTATGACTAATGACATCTAGATTCCATGTTAGACATTAACTATCTTTTGATTATTATTGAATGATCATTTGCCAATGTTAAAAGACAATTTAGGATTAGTTTGTGATAAGACTTGGAACACAAAAATACTACAGCTACTTAATATGTTCATGGATAATATTTAGAATATTTTTTTTAAAAGAAATATCCTCACAAAATACTGAGCATATATATTTTGGTGAAATACTGTCTGCAAGAAAATACTAACTGCAATTACAAGTAAATCAGAAATACATAGCATACATTGAAGAGAAAAATTTTCAAGCAATAGCATATTTGATATTAATATTGCCTTTCTCCTTTTGGAAAAGACTTATTTTTAAAAAAAACTATTCAGAGAAACTAAGAAAAACTACAGGAACAGTTTTAGACCTTTATTACAGTAGTATGTGCTGCATACTTGATGGAATTTAAAAATTAAATCAGTAAAAAATGTTTCCTTTTTAAAAAAAATATTTCTTTTTAAAAAGTGTATTGGGTTAACATTGGTTCATAGGGTCATAATAGCTTTTAGGTGTACATTTCTAAAATATAGGATCTGTATATTGCATTGTGTGCCCACCACCCAAAGTCAAATCATCTTGTATCACTGTATATTTGCTCCCCTTTGCCCTTTACTACCCCCAACCCCTTCTTTCTGGTAACCACCATGCTGTTGTCTGTCCGTGTCTATGAGTTTCAGTTTTATATACCAGATATGAATGAAATATGGTTCTTAGCTTTTTCTGACTGACTTATTTTGCTTAGCATGATATTCTCAAGATCCATTCATGTTGTTGCAAATGGCAATATTTCATTTTTTCTTATGGCCGAGTAGTGTTCCACTGCATATATATATACCACGTCTTCTTTATCCAGTCTTCCAATGAACGCTTTGGTTGTCTTGGTCACTATAAATAATGCTGCAATTAACAAGGGATGCATATATTTTTGTGAATAAATGTTTTCTTTTAAAAAATTTTTACTTATTTATTTTTAGAGAGAGGTGAAGGGAGGGAGAGAAATAAGGATATGTGAGAGAAACATTGATTAGTTGCCTCTCGCATGACCCCAGCTAAAGACCTGGCCCACAACCCAGGAACGTGTCCTGACTATGAATCAAACCAGTTTCTGGTTGTGGGATGACGCCCAACATGCTGAGCCGCACCAGTCAGGGCACAAGTAAATGCTTTTGAGTTTTTCTGTAGATACTCAGAAGAGGGATTTGCTGGGTCATATGGAAACTCTATTCTTAATTTTTTGAGGAACTGCCATACTGTTTTCTATAGTGGCTGTACTAAACAGTCAAAGAAGATTTGATACCTATTCTTCTCTAACTCTCCCAAAAAATTGAAGTAAGGGGAATATTTTATTTATTTCAAATGTCTTGATTCAAAGGTTAAAGAGATGGTGTAGGTACTATTCACTAATGTGATTATTCTTCAACTTTTATAAGCAGATTTACTTATCCAGAATGTCATTGCGACATATTATTTTACCAAATATTCTTATGATAAATGGTTTATGTCATTTAATTTTATCAGATCCCTGCTCTTTTGTCCTCTATTAACTCTCTTCCACCCCATTTTTTAAAAAAAATTCTTGTTATTCTTAATTTCTTTCATTTTTTTTTCTTGCTCACTTGATGCATTCTCTTTGCAAATCACTTTGAAGGTAACAGATGATGGTTTTATTATGCAAGAATACTCAAAAACTTCTTTAATACCATGGTATAGTATACAACTGTTTGGTTTACTAACAATAATAGACAAGAAAAAATAATATTAACAACAATGATTGTGCTCTTAGTACACTCTAACCTGATGCTAAGTGCTCTATGAATGTTATCTCATTTTTTCTTTCATTCTTATATAATTCACATGAACCCTAAGTCCTTGTTTTCAATATTTGAGTCATTGTGTAAATAATTTTATAGTTTTTTTTAAATGTCCATGTTCATGAAAATGAAATTTCAAAGTATGACTGAAAAAAACTACTCTGATAAAGAGAGATTCCTAAGAAATTGCCTCTGTAATTTTTTTATTTGACATAATTATATATCTTCCTCATATATATTAAATAAATAATATTTGAAAGAAGTCCATCACCATACCTGTTATATTGAATGCCACCAGTGGTATATGTCTTCCTCCTTGAGACATACTTTCTGTTATTATCCCATTTTTTTCAGTGAATAACCTAGAACTTAAAAGAGGGTATGTGCCTTGTCCACAGTCAAAAAATTACCAAAAAATGGATGCAAACTCAGATATTCTTTTAAATGCTATATCCTTGTCCAGTACACTGCATTTTCTATACTGGCAGCTTGAAGAAAATTAGCTCTAAATCAGCTCAATCTGAAAACTGAATAATTTATTGAGTGGTTTTTCATAGTTTTTATTCCTCTCTCATAAATCATACTTTCTATTACCAAAAAGTGTTCAATCGTTGCCATATTAGCCTTTACAATAAAGAAAATCACCAGATTTTTTCCAACAATTTATACATGAGATAAATTTAGAAAGCAGTGGAAATGAAGTGAAATGAAAGTTGAGGCATAATGTGTTTGAACTTTATAATTTTGTATCTTATTTATTTTCACAGTTTTCATTTCTTGCATTTTATAGCACATACTTTATTTGAGGTTTTAATATTCGTGTATTGGTATTTTATGGGACAGTGGTAGATTTTATCTGATTAACATTACATTTGTGGTTAAAATAGCAGTGTTTTCTATTATTAAAATACATTTAAAAGTTATTTTCCTTTATTTTTTGAATGGTATTTGGATCAGTTTAAACAAGTCTTCTAAATTGTTCCATTAAATAAATTGGTTTAAATAGAAATGGAGGCTTTATAGATAAAGCTGTCACCTGGAATTATAGGCTGAATTTAAATTCACATTAAATTGTGGCTGTGAAGATCATGCATCAGATATAGGTATTGCAAATAATCTTTATTATATGCATTGTTTTCAAATACTTATCTACAAAATTAAATAATGAAAATGTGTTTTGTTTAAATAAAGCCATGCATTTGTTGTAAATCAAGGAAATAAACATTGATTCAACAGAAAAGTTTTGTACTCCTGGCGGCCAGTAGCAGAAGGACTGGCTTGGAACAGGCTTCCTCTGCCTGCTGAATTTCTCAGAAGGAAATCTCCCTAGTTGTCTAAAGGCTTAGAAACATATTTGACTATTTCACAGGGAGATGCTTTCTTGACTGTATTTGTAGCAAGTGCATTTTCCATCACCCTCTGTGAGGTCTTCAGGCTAAGTGAGAAGGCCAATGTGTTCTTTATGGCCACAGAAGTCATTTCGGAAAGGTCTGTGTGATATGAGTGAGCAAGGAACAGAGAAATAATGGGGGGAGGAGCATTTAATAGAAAGTCTTAGTCGTTATAGTGAGACCTTAGGTTTTCTCTCTGAGATGGAATGACAAACCATTTGAGCAGACAAATGGC